GGACATTTGATCTTGTACCATCCAAGCCATCAGGAAGTGACTTTTTACGAGGGCCTGTAGGGACAGGCCAAGGGGAATGGCTTTAACCTACCAGAGGGGAGACTGAGATGAGCTCTTAGGCAGAAGCTCTTCCCTGTGAGGGTGCTGAGGCGCTGGCACAGGGTGCCCAGAGAAGCTGGGGCTTCCCCATCCCTGGCAGTGTTCAAGACACAGGGGCTTGGAGCAAGCTGCTCTAGTGGAAGGTGTCCCTGCCCGTGGCAGGGGTTGGAACTGGAGGAGCTTTAAGGTCTCTTCCAACCCAATTCCATGATTCTGTGATAAGAAGTCAAGCCTGAACATCCCAATTCTACTCTAGTGAAGGGAGCCAGCACCAACAACAGGTACATGGGAATGAGAGAAAGGAGGCTGAGAAAACCAGGAGAGGCAACTGAGTTCATTCTCAACCCACAGTGGAGACACTAGTGAGATGCTGAGGACAGTATTTTTCTCTCATGCTTTGATGCATCTTGGTAATGATGCTGAAGCTGCTGATGCTCGAGGCAGTTCTCCATCTCTTTACCATATATTAGACACTAGGAAGTCTTTCTGATCCTATCTAAAAGCTCCTTGGATGCTGTGTGAACCCTAAAGCAAAAGGTGGGGAGAATGGAGATGCATAGGCCTTCCCTTTGGAGAAGAGACTGGGAAGATCTCACCCCGTCACACACAAGTTTACACCTTCTAGTTTAATATGTAAGGCTTTCCAATGGATTGTAGTACTCCAAAAAGGAATTCTACCTTCTTTTTCCTAGTTTTTTTTTCCCTGTTTGACATGTTAAACCTGTGACCAGTTAAAACTGCAGCTCCTTTTTCTGACAGCTTGCTGCAAGGGGGATATCCTCCTCCTGCATTTGTGCCCATGCACGCTAGTGGTAGCGATCTGTGTTTGTCCTTCCTGAACTACATCCTTCTCAAACCATCGCTTCCATTCACCCAGAACTCTCCTCTTTTCAGATTCTCTCCCTTTGTCACCCTCAAGCTCCATGAACTTATTCTCTAATCCATCATTCAAGCTGGTAATTAAAACATTGCATCGTACCAGAGTTGTGCCAAGCCACAGAAGACCTTGTTTCATAGATCATTCCAGCTTGACAGCAAACCGTTGACAGTTATTTGCTCATGATTTCAGCTAGACAGTGTGTTTAGTTGTGCTGATGAGACTGTCATCCGATACGGTGCCAAAAGCTTTAGTAACACTGAGCTATGTGACAGGTACCACTTTTATCCTAACTAAGATTTTGCCAGCTTGTCACAGGTGGGAATAACACCCATCTGTCACTGAGTTCTTGCTGTTCAGCCCCATCTCTTTGATAGCCCCTGCACATTGTTAATTGTGTGATGATATATTTAAGAGGTTTTTTCCAAGACTAGGGTCTGGGTTGACCCCTCTGTATGTCCCCAGTGTTTCCCCCATCCCCTATAATGATGGCAGGGAGTTGGAACTGGTTAGTCTTAAGGTCCTTTCCAACCCTAACTATTCTATGGATCCTGCACTTGGTGGTATCCGATCTTCTCAGATACCCAGATTGCCCTATTGCAAAGGAACAGGAGCAGGTGAAACAGGATGGGTTTGGTGGCTGCAATAGAAGCCAAATATTCCTTATATCAATATCTCCGTGCCTAGACACCACTTAGTTTGGCTGATATCCCTCATGGATGTGCATATTCATAGTGAAAACCCCACCTTTGATTTGCTTACATCTGGGTCTCGATTCATTTTCATGTTCTTGCTTTTGATGTGTTAGTTGGCTCATCCATGTTAACCCCAGGAACATCTGCAGCAGCTAAGTAGCTCTGTTACTCTTGTTTTAGATGTGGTTAGCGTTTCCATACCTGTCTACCCTTTTACTCTGCACGTAATCCAGGCTGGAAGCAGAAGCACATCTTCTGACTCTCTATGTGCAGCTCAAACATTGTTGTGAGAATCCTGTGTTGAAGTTGCACCTCCAACCATCACCTGGATGTCTTCTTACAAGAACAACTAAGTCTGGAGAGCACCACCAGTGAATCCTCACGTTGCAGCTTCATTTGAAAAGGCAAATGTGACTGATTCTTCCCATGGAGGAAGGAGAGAGTTGGCTGTGCCTAAGCTCCTACACCACAGGAGCTTTGATCTTCTACCTAAACCTTCCTCTAGCCACAGCTGCCAGTGTGGAAAGGGAGCTTTGACCCTGTAGTCAGACCAACATGTCCCCCGTTTCTCACCCCCATCAAGGACAGCTTTTGAGTGTCCCTATTTCTTCTTTATTTGAAAGAGTTTCAGTGATTTCCCACTCAGAACATCAGCTCTGACAAAGTCCATTCCTAAATTCTACCCCCATACTCACTGTCAGACACCTTCAGCTCCTCGTTCACTGTGGGCTTTCAGTCCAGGAACCGGATGGATGATGGCGTGACTGGCAATGCAATGAGTAAATCCTTTTAAACTCAGTGCAAACCTGCAAAGAATCAATCAGCATAATCCTGGTATGATCAGGTGCTTTGGCATCCAGAAACTTCCAGAAAAGGAAGGGTTCCTCTATATTTCTGGATGAGGAGACCCAGGAACCCTTCTGTCCATTTTATCTGGTGGGAGGCAACATCCATTTGGGTGTTATCAGCAGGCAGCACTTGCACTGGTGTAGTGAAGAGGAGGGGATGGGCTAGGGAGGCAATAAGGGCCTGCAAGGGGGTATGATGCATGCAGTAATCTGCAGGCAGGAGAAAGTCCCTGTAAGCAGAACCAAACAGCTTCCTTAGAGTGCCCAGTTGCCATGGATCCCAATGGAGAAGTGGAACATCACAAAAGGGAGTCCTCAGTCATGGCTGCTGGTCTCACCTTGACTCAGAGCAGAGCATCTCTCCTTCCAAACCCTGCAGCAATTCCCACTCTGCTGCTCTATGACACGGATGAGGTTTGCTCTCCCTCATTTTCTCTGCCCATCCTGGTCTCCAACATGCCACCAGCCTCAATGGGCTTCTCTTGACTCATTTCCTCCCCACCAGCTGGTCTCACCACCAAGCCTTGCGACATCCACTGAAACTGGTGGAGATATCAATTGCTCCTTCTGCTTCCCCTGTCCTGTGCCAGCTTGCCTGGTGGTTAAGACAGCAACGGCTTTGGCCCTGAGCCCACCTTTCCTGGAGGTTTCTGAAAGCACAGGGTGTATTTTCAGAAAAGAAGTGTCTTCCTTCTGTGTGGAGTATTTGTGGAGCACGTGCTCATGGCATTGGGATACAGCATGACCGTAGCCCCTACCAGTGCTGCCAGCCCATGCCCTTAGCAGCCAGACATCTCTACCTTCCTTTTGGTTTAAAAAGTCTTTTACTTCCCCTTCTCCTTCCCTTTTGTGTCTGTCTTTGGTGAGAGAAAATCACTGTGTTCTGCTAGCACGTTCACACCTGGCCCTTTTGACATCTGTCATCTCTGCATATGGGTCACCACTCAGATCAATGGGAGTCAGCATCTTCTTGTCCCTGCCCCACACTGTGGTGTCACCTCCTTCATTCGCTTTGTTTCCTTCTTGTTCACTAAAGATAATATGTAAAAACCAGGCAGCAGGCTTCAGGGTTTACAATACGAAACATGAAGCTGATGGAGCATCTTTGGCTGATCAGCCTCCTGGGAAATCAGTTGCTTTATAATCCATGTGAAACAACCCAAGGGGGCCTACAAGGATGCTGGGGAGGGACTTATTGTGCCTCTGGAGTGGTAGGATAAGGGGTGATGGGTTCAAACTGAAACAGGGGAAGTTCAGGTTGGAGATAAGGAAGAAGTTCTGGTTGGAGATAAGGAAGAAGTTCTTTACTGTGAGGGAGCTGAGGCACTGGCACAGGGTGCCCAAGGAAATTGTGAAGCCTCCATCCCTGGCAGTGTTGAAGGCCAGGTTGGACAGAGCCTTGGGTGACATGGTTTAGTGTGAGGTGTCCCTGCCCATGGGAGGTGCTCGGAACTGAATGATCTTAAGGTCCTTTCCAACCCTAACTATGCTATGATTCTCTGTGCCTCCTTCCAGATGTGCAACCAAAAAGACAGCAGAATTCCAAGGCGGTGCTTCAGACAAACCACATTTAGCCATAGCCCCCCCATGAAAACTAAAAGGAAAACCCCCAAACAGACAAAATACAGCACTAACAGCAAGGATGCCCCCCACACACGCAAGAAAAACACACTCTGATTGTTTGGACAAGTTCTGATTTCCCTATAACACAGCTGAGCTACTGATGCTGCCAACTCGCTTTGTTTTGCTTTCCAGAATAAGAGCTTGCACAGGGATATGATTGAGAAGCTCTGGGCTCTTTGTGTTAGTCACTGGCTGCCTGCCCTTCTTCTTCTCTGTAGACACCCTTACGTCTCCTACAGAGCTTTTCTGCCTTCACCTCAGGTACAGCTCTCTCAGGGAGAGGAGGGAGCAAAAACCAGACAAAGCCCAGCACAATCAGTCATTTCTAGGCCAGGAACGTGGTTTTCTAGAAGCCATCTCACTAAATGGCTGGGCCTGGCAACCGCTGTCAGGTTGGTTTGGCCCTGCAGGAGAAGAAGGAAATAGATACGGGGACATCATTTCCAGCTGGACCAGGCCCATGAGGAGCCAGTGTGCACGCAGTTCCCAGCACAGTGCTCACCCTGCTGCTGCCCTTCTCCCTTCCATCTCCCTACTCATACCCTGCTGCTGCCTTTTCCTCTCTCTCAGCCACGTCTGCTGCTCTCTGCCTTTTCCCTAAGCTCAGCCAACACATTGGAGCTGGGTGATAAAGGATGCTCATTGCAAAATGAGAGCAAAGAGCCAGTGGAGCCAGAAATTGCTCCCCACTGGGGCTGAAGGAATGTCAAAACTACTACCAGGAATAAGCTTCACCTTACTTGGTTTTGACCTGCTTGACTGATGTGTGATAGCCAACTGACTGTGAACAGAAGATACGGAAGTGCTGACATAACTGTTGAGCTATTACCCGTGTTTCAGGCAGGTTGGGTTGTTATTCCTTACAGTGCTTTGAAACCTTAAGAGACAAAAATATGTCTTAGAGCATCTTTTCAGAGCTGTAACGATTTAAAGCCCAAACATGCCAAGAGGTCTGTCTTTTCTCCGTTTCCTTCGGTGACTTGAATGTCTGAGGACACTTAGGATTCAAGCAGGCTTAGGAAATCAATGGGAGTTCAGCACCCAACTTGTTTAGATTCTCTCAAAGCACAACTCTTTGATAGCAGCAGTTATCCCAGAGCAACACGCTTTTATTTCAGCCAACAAAGCCATCACGGAGAGTTTTTCCTAATCCATCACAGTCCACATGTAAGCGATACTGGCTAGGGCACCTAGGGACATCACTCCATAGCTGCTTTGCATGCTGCTGACTCCATTTACATTGCATAATGGCTTCTCACAGCAAGAAACCCTCTGATAGTGTGGGGTTTGCTGCTGGCTTGTTGCAGGACACGTTGGAGAACACATCTTAGAGATGACGTATTTAGGCTTGTTGGGCTCTAATGCAGAAGAGAAGGGTGAAAAAAAGAAAGGGTAGAATGTAAGAATCATGGTTAAATGTTTCCATGGCTAAATCTGCATTGGTGAATAAAGGAAGGATAGACACAAGTCCCCAAGGCAAATATATCCTCTGCTCAGGACTAGCAACAGCCTGGCCATGTCTACATTGCTGCAGCATGATGCTGGTTTCCCTGGGCTCCATGTTTCATGTGTCTCCGTAGTGGATGCATGAATGGGTGGCTTTTAGTTCAAGTTGCCTGAAGTGATGCTTGTGCTGGGTTTCTGACTTCTAAGATGGTTCTTCTTCAGCATAAAACCAGGGGAAATGTACTGCATGATCTGAGATTTGTCCTGAGAGCACATGGAGGTCTTTGAGGGTGCAGAGCCCAAAGGAGAGATCTGAAGGATTTTACATGGCAGAGAGTCAGCCATGGTGCAGTTTACATAGAATCATGGAATGGTTTGGGTTAAAAGAGACCTTAAAGCTCATCCAGTTCCAACCCCTGCCACGGGCAGGGACACCTTCCATAGAGCAGGGTGCTCCAAGCCCCTGTGTCCAACCTGGCCTTGAACACTGCCAGGGATGGCGCAGCCACAGCTTCTCTGGGCACCCTGTGCCAGTGCCTCAGCACCCTCACAGGGAAAAGCTTCTGCCTAAGAGCTCATCTCAGTCTCCCCTCTGGCAGGTTAAAGCCATTCCCCTTGTCCTGTCCCTCCATCCCTTGTCCAAAGCACCTCTCCAGGTTTCCTGCAGCCCCTTGAGCCACTGGAGCTGCTCTCAGGTCTCCCCTTCAGGAGCCTTCTCTTCTCCAGGCTGAACCAGCCCAGCTCTCTCAGCCTGGCTTCAGAGCAGAGCTGCTTCAGACTCCTGAGCATCCTTATGGCCCTCTTCTTTTGCTCAAACTTCTTTGGAAACAACCCTGAGAATGCATATTGCCATGGCAACCTTGGATGACATGATTTAGTGCCAGGTACCCCTGCCCATGGCAGGGGATTGGAACTGGATGACCTTAAGGTTCCTTCCAACCCTGACTATTCTATGATTCAATGATTCTATGGTCAGGGTCAGCAGAAAGCTGGGAGGAAGCTAACAATGAAGCAGTGCACAGACCCCCAGGCTTGAGTTCACTCCGTTCCTGCTATGTATCTTCCATTTCCCCAACTTCTGGTAATGACATCAAACATAATGGCACTGCAGTGACTCTAATAGTGAGCAGCAAGGTGGATGGTTCCTAACTGTTGGTGCTCATGGGCTATTGTTTCAGTATGTGGCCAAGGCTGGGCTATTGTTTCCATATGTGGCCAAGACTGGGATGACAGCCCATTCCTAGGACTGTTCTTCCACAGCACAAACAAGGCAGTGTTCAGTAATGTACCTGTTCCAATGTTGTTCCGGATAGTCACGCAGTATTTGTCTTCCTTTGAGCACATGGAAATGGTCAAACAGTCCTTGTTGGACTCCTGTTCTTGGCACACATAGCACATAAATGAGTAAGCTAGGAGAAAAAAATAACAGAGAAAAGGCACATTGCATGGTTTAGGACCCACAATCCCTACAATCTAGATATCTTCATTTTTCTTGTTATAGACTGATGAATGCTTGTGTGTGAATGACCAGTGACTTTCTTTATCCCTTGACCTGTGGCAGCAGTTAAATCCCTCTCTGTCTCGTATGTCTCAGACTGCGAAGTGTTATCGATCTGTTTGCAACCTCTAGCAGCAGTAGATGTGAGTGGAATTGAAGGACTTGGGGTCTTTTATGATGGAGATTGTTACTGCAACAGCATCTCTGTCCTAAGGGCTCTGCCACGTGAATTGCTAACTACTACTCAGTTGCTTCTCCTTTACAAACTTAGGCAGGGTTTGCTAGGGAGAACTTGAGGATACCTGGAACATTTCAATGTGGATAATGCCCAGTGTCCTACTTGTCTTTCATTTGGCTCAGAGATTACTGTCACGTATCTTTTCTTGTGGTTGAACGCCACTACCTGAACTGGCCTAACCTCGGTCCTAGGAAGTCTGCTGAGAGTAGTCAGATGCTTCGCTGAACTTCTGCATACTACTGTGAGATAGAAAATAAATGGGAAGTCTTAACCAAAAGGATGGTTTAACTGGTAAATAGAGGTTTGCTGAGACAATTCATACATCTGCAATAAAGACAATGAAGGGCAGCAGCCATGAGTTGTCTTTCCTGTCAAGAATGTATATACTTTCCCTCAAATCCAGAAGGTGGTAGGACAGACCTCTGTAAAGCAGTGATAAAAAGGAAGAAGAGCAAAAACGCAGTCTGGATGAGAAACCACACGACAGCGTCTGCAGAACACTCCCCAGCAAGGCAGATTTAAAGGTTTTATGGTGGTGGTTTGATTCTGAGCTTGCGAAATCACCGAGAGCAAAAGCATGTGTTTGTGTGTGTGGGAGAGGGGCTGAGTTACTGTAAGAACACAGATGTTTTTGGAAAGGGAAGCAAACACAGTGCTGAATGCTTGCTAAATTCCTGGTAAGTCTGGGGAGAGTCTGCCAGTATGGAAAGGGCAGAAAGCAACTAGAGGACACCTTCCTGTCTGCGCAGTTTTGCCTGATAAGAAGTTGGCAGTAAGGAAGTTGAATCTTCATGTACAGAATAGAGGAGATGCAGCGTTTTGCCAAAACTTGAATGACATTGTTATGATCAAGCCCAGGAAACAAGAAAGTGAAAATAAATACAACAGAATGGGGGCAAAGCCAGACATGAAAACACCCTCACAGGGTATTTCACAATGGTTATTGGTCCAACCAGCTGAAGCAATGCAACTCGTAAAGTTCTCCAGAGCTCTGCTTGGGCTCAGGTTTGTATAGTGTCATCACTTAGTGAGAGTAGGGATGGGATAGAGGATGCACATAGAATCATAGAATAGTTAGGGCTGGGCCACAAGGGTGATCAGGGGCTGGAGCACCTCCCATATGGAGACAGGCTGAGAACACTGGGGCTGTTGAGCCTGGAGAAGAGAAGCTGCGTGGAGACCTCAGAGCAGCTTCCAGGGTATGAAGGGGGCTACAAGGATGCTGGAGAGGGACTCTTCATCAGGGACTGGAGTGATAGGACAAGGGGTGATGGGTTCAGACTGAAACAGGGGAAGTTCGGATTGGATATAAGGAAGTTCTTTACTGTGAGGGTGCTGAGGCACTGGCACAGATTGCCCAAAGAAGTAGTAAGTGCTTCATCCTTGGCAGTGTACATCATATTTTCAGATGATGCTGCAGCCAAAATAGCTGAAAACAGACTGCAAGTAGAGTTCTAAGTGATTTCGACAGATTGATGCAATAAAAGAAGGAAAAAAAAGAATGGATTCAGTTCAACAAAAAGAAATATTTTGCAATACGATAAAAGTGAGCCACTTAAATGTCAGATGACGAACAACTGTTTGAGTTGGAAGTAAGGACTGTGGTGTAAACAGCAGGAGTCAACCCTGTCACACTGCAGCGATGAAAACAAACGTCACCCAAGAGAACATGAGCAGCAATGTCATGTGCAAGATATGCAAAGTGGCCTTTCCACCCTGGGAAGGCCTCGGCTGGAACGCTGGTGACCAAATCTGTACGTAGCACTTCAAAAACTATGCGAAGCATTTGGAGAGAGACCAGAGGAGAGGGAGGAGAAACGGTCGGTGATCATGAAAATGTGACCTCGTAGAAAAGGTTGGAAATGTTTAGTTTGCTTATTAAAAGTGATAAAATGCACACAAGCAAAATAAGCTGCAAAGAAGAAAGTAACTAGAAGAAAGTGTTCTACATATCCTATGGTGAAAACGCTGCACTGGACAAAAAGAGATGTTAAGATATTAATTTTCTAAAAGATGAGTCTGAGCACTTCCAGGCTGTGGAATCTTTGTTGAAAACTTCCAAGGACACTTTAGACAAAGATCTGCCTGATTTGGTCCAGCATTGAAGCAGGGAAAAGGATTAAGACCTTTTAAGGCTTCTTCTGGATATAATATAACCATAGAATTAACCAGGTTGGATAATAACTTTACGATCATCAAGCCCAATCATTACCCCAGGACTGACAAGACCACCACTAAACCATATCACTGAGGGCCTCATCTACATGGTAATGGTGAATTCCTGGATGCAAATGGCAACAGATCCTCTTTGGGAGGCTGAGAGACCAACAGTTTTGATCCAAAATTACTTATTAGGGTCTTATCAGGGATCCCAGATACATGAGAAGGATCAAATAACCGTTATCTCCAAGTTTTCCTTTGTCCCTATGCTAGGCCAGATAGCTGCGATCTCTTAATCTTGACTATGGAAGCCTTGATATTAGAATTACCAGCTTTCTGTGATCTAGACTGAGCTGTAGAAAGGTGCCCAGTAAAACACTGCCCTTAAGTCCATTTGGAAGCTGATACCAACATAAAATGTAATCAGCCCACTATAGCAACAAGGTATCCTGCCATGAATAATGGGTTCAAACTGAAGCAGGGAAAGTTCAGGTTAGATCTAAGGCAGAAGTTCTTTGCTGTGAGGGTGCTGAGGCGCTGGCACAGGGTGCCCAAAGAAGTGGTAAATGCTCCATCCCTGGCAGTGTTGAAGGCCAGGTTGGACAGAGCCTTGGGTGACATGGTCTAGTGTGAGGTGTCCCTGCCCATGGCAGGGGGTTGGAACTGGGTGATCTTAAGGTCCTTTCCAACCCAAACCATTCTATGATTCTATGAATCTATGTGCTACCAGAGTCTTGGATCTCTATTAGCTTTCTACTTAAACCTGGGTAACACTGGGGTCGTTGCCTTTGAAGATGACTCTCTTCTGTCCATGTTGTGTCACTGCATCCAGGAATTACAGGCACAAAATCATTTCCTTTTTTGAGAACTGAATACTTTTCCCACCCCAAAACTGGCCGAAGCCTCTGATCTTCCAGACGTGCTGCAGAACCATCTGTCCATAAAATGTAGGAGTAGGGGGTTGATACATCAGAAAGCAAGAATTAATTAGATGCCTCTTTCTCAACCCCTGCTAGATATGTATCATGGTTTCTGGGATACCATCAGGTGTGGGGGAAATATTGGCAATCTGGTCATGATTCCTATGTGCAAGTAGCGATGTAGCAACACACACGGATCAGTCCCAGAAGGAGGACAACATTCTGAGTAGCTCGGACTTCCCTTTGGGAGAAGGATGCCTTTAACATGACATATGCATAGAAAAGCAATTTCACCTCTGCCTCTGATTTCATCTATAAGAATTCTCACTGTTGTGTTTCCTAAGAAGCAAGGCACATGGCAAACCACATGGAGGAAGTAGCAGTACAGAAAATTCTGTACAATAATACTATATTCAATACTCAAAACCTGACATGGATAAATAAATCTGTAAGTAAATCCATAAGTAAATCTATGTTATCCTTTCTGACACTTCCAGCTTGCACCATTTGGGAAGATCCCATAGACTATATGGATTTAACCTGGCATCTGGTGCTGTACCATTAGTGCTCTTTCACTCAGTACTACCTGCTGCAAAGAAGAATTAGTCTATCAAGTTCTTTTAGTTCTGAAGCTAATCATCAAGGTGCAAAAGGAAGCTGATGACAGCATGGCTGTAATGATGCAATACTGCAAAGTTGGGGACAGCTCACTAAATTTCTGCCGCATTAAACCCTTTCACCGTCTATAACCCTTATCTGAACTAGTAGCAACATGAGAGGCTCACCTTGCTCCACACACAGGACAGCAGCCAGCAAGGTGACAAGAGTAGTCTTCATCTCCACCAGATCCTCTCAGCTGGACTGGGAAGATGTTTGGAGGGCAGGTTATATACCTTTTGAATGGCAGCAGTCTTACAGGTTCCAGATGGCTCACAGGTGGACATGAAATCAACCCAAGGGTGTGTAATATGTATGTGGGAGTTCATGCTGGTGCCCATGGAACCTTGGGGAAAAGTCCCTTTAGCAGCTCATTTCTTGCTTTGCCGGTTGTATCAGTGATGGGAAATGAGGATCTGCTCTCTTCTCTTCCAAGCTTCTTCCTTTCCTTCCTTCCAGAAGAAGCAGCAGCTGCTCTGATGAAATAGCAGAGCCCGGAGGCATGGGAAGATAGTCCTAGCAGTGCATTTTCCTTATCCCTTTGGATAGACAGCATGGGATGTAGCAGGATCTATACCATTCATTTGCTTTCATTATTCCATGGCACCAGAAGCTCAGACTTAACAGGCCTACATTGGTTTACCCGCAATGAAATCAATGTTGTTTACACTAAGAGATATTAGCTAATGGTTAGTTAAACAGATTTCCCTCAAATGTTAATGTTGATCCTCAATTCTTTCTGTTTTTCCATTACTTGTAGTTGATCCCTCTGCTTGCTCTTCTCCTGGTTATAATTCTCAAATACCCTAAATAACTTTTATTTGATGAAGTTTTGCCTCTATTTCAGGGATCCTTTAGTGACTCTGCTTTCCTCCATACCCAGTGGTTTCTGGAAATCACCCCTCCATTTACAATACCAACCATTGGCCTCCTGGAATTGCTTTTCCACTTGGAAGAAAAGCCATCTCTCAAACTGTCTCCTTTTCAATCTCTCCTCTTAAGTCAGTCCTTTTTATTCTATTCTTCTGTGTTGCTCTCCTCTGGATTTCTTGCAATCTCTTTCTGACAGTCTTGGAAATAGACCTTAACACAAGATGCATCTTGTAAGCCCTTGAGCTGACATCTCAATGGGGCTTCTTCCAAAGTGAGATTAGTCCTGGACAGCAGGTAGAGGAATGTGTAAAAGCAAAATACGCCAAACCCTCTCTTTTGCTGGTAATTACGGAATAACTTCACAGGAACTTCCCTAGAATTAGCCATCAGTAGGGTATTTTGGTCTGCTTCTAATATGAATCACTCCAACACTGGATGATTTCCTTATCCATGTGAGTCTTGACACTTTATCAGGCCCTCCTTAATCTGCTCCTAGAATGACATCACCAGGTGGTAAATTCCAGAGTTGTTCAAGCTCGATGTCAAAATAGACATCGAATCATAGAATGGTTTGGGTTGGAAAGGACCTTAAGATCGTCCAGTTCCAATCCCCTGCCGTGGGCAGGGATGCCTCAAACATCCCTGCTCTTGTGTTCGGGAGTTTCTGTGGTCAGCAGGGGATGAGCTGGTGCTGATCTTCTGCTTCACAGAAGGCAATCCAGTTTACTGCCCAAGTGTCTTATAAACAGGTTGCTCTTCATAATTAGTAGGTGTGTTTTCTTGCTGGTATTTGGCAATGAGGATAAAAGGAAGCAACCATCTTCTTTCTTGTGACCCTATTAATTATCCCATAGACTTCTGTTATGTATGTTCCTTTTCCCTTCCTCCATGAATGAAAGAGTGCTCTAATTATTGCCATATCCCCCCTCATGTTGACTTTGCCAACATCTGTTTGTTCTTGCATTAACCTTCATGCAATAGGATGTTGGCTCAGTGCAAGTCAGCTTTGAAAGAGGGGTGAGGCTAAAATATCCTCAGCACTGCAACAAACGTGTTGAGGAGAGAAGTTTGAGTAGAAATAAAGCTTTTCTGTGTCAAAATGATCAGAGGGCTGGAGCAGCTCTGCTCTGGAGCCAGGCTGAGAGAGCTGGGCTGGGTCAGCTTGGAGAAGAGAAGGCTCCTGAAGGGGAGACCTGAGAGCAGCTCCAGTGCCCAAAGGGGCTACAGGAAACCTGGAGAGGGGCTTGGGACAAGGGATGGAGGGACAGGCCAAGGGGAATGGCTTTAACCTGCCAGAGGGGAGACTGAGATGAGCTCTTAGGCAGAAGCTCTTCCCTGTGAGGGTGCTGAGGCGCTGGCACAGGGTGCCCAGAGAAGCTGTGGCTGCCCCATCCCTGGCAGTGTTCAAGGGCAGGTTGGACAAAGGGGCTTGGAGCACCCTGCTCTAGTGGAAGGTGTCCCTGACCATGGCAGGGGGTTGGGACTGGGTGATGTTTAAGGTCCCTTCCAAGCCAAACCATTCAATGATTCCATGAAGTCATTATTTGGGGGCTGTCCCCAGGACATTAATATCTTTGTTAGTACCTGGATGCACTAACGCTGGAACATGACCTCTTCCCAGTATCTGGAGAGGGGTAATTTTGCAGCGCAATGACTGGGTCGCAGCGATTCCTTCTTTCTCAAGAGGACAGATTATGAAACTCAAAAGCAGACAGAGGTAACACATAGCAGCCAGTGTGGGGGGAGCTGCCCAGCATCACAGCCTTCAGCCTGGAGGAGCCCTTGGAGCAGGGGACACCAATTGGGAAGTGTGGTTGGACTTGATGGTCTTAAAGGTCTTTTCCTACCTAATCGATGATACAATTCAAATTAAGATTGAGAACGACTGCAGAATAGCCAAGGAAGCTGAGCCTGAGTCGTCTCTGAAGAGCAACCTCATTGCTACTCATTTGTGGAAACTAGAATGAGACCCAAACTGGATCCATGAGGTGTCTGTATGACACCAGAGCACCAGTTAATTTTGAGGAAGGGATGCTTTTGTCACTTTCCATGGATTACAAAAGCTTTCTAGACCCAGCAAACATCTTGCTTTGACCTTTTGCATTCATGTTGTCTCTTGCTTTGTCATTGAATCACTGGGTGTTAATCAGATCTGTGCAAATAAGGGAAGAGAAAGGGAAAAGGTTTCATGTTGTGAGGGAAAAGACAGCCAAATTATTCAAGGAGAGCAGAAGGTCCTTCAGAATCAATGGGGATAAAGCCTTGAGTGAGGGAAAAGAAAAGCCAAAGTTCTACCACCTCCTAGAGGTGCCTTATGTAGACAGAGAAAGGGCTGCTTGGCTGGTTCAGGTCCTGGTGCAGTGACTCAGAGCACTGAAAACCAAGCTCTTAGATAACCCTCACAGAGAGATCCAGCCACCTCCCAGGAGCAATCCCAACTGTTTGAATGAGATGCTCATTTTCCTCCATAAACCACAGATGTCTCTGCAGGGCAGCTCGACATTGCCATGCATGGAACATGCAACCATGGGAGCGAGCAGATACTGAACCCTGGGAGGAGGGATGTGGAATTAGGCAGCAGCATCTGTGTGGGAGATGTCACATCAGGGTTTCTCAGGGAGGCTGGCAGAGATGAGTCTCTTCTTACACAACACCCATTGCCAAGGAAGGGTTTATGGGTTTAGGACCTCCTGTGCCTCAGGGCAACTGATGCTTTTATGTAAGGGTCCTTATCTTGAGATGCAGGTCAGTATTGCACATAAACATGCACGGGTTGTGTTGCTGGGCAATAGGGAATGCAAAACCTATGGGATCAGGAAGAAACCAGGCTGGGGCCCATGGATTGAGCTGCTCCCTTAGGGATAGAACTCTTGGCTTTCCAGCTTTGTTCCTAAGTTAGTGTAACAGCCATAAGGAGAACACTTTCCGCAGCAGAAGCAGGCTCTACCACATGCCTTCATCTCCTTTGCCCACACATTTTAATACCTTCCTTCACATGCCAGGTTCCCTCCCAGCCCAAAACAGAGGCACCTGCCAAGCGCAGGTAGCACAAGACATGACCTTTTAAACCTAGATGGTAAGAGCAGGTCTATATTCACAAGCTCAGCAGGACAAGACCTGGACACATTCCTGTGTAACATTATCTAGGTGTTCCTGCTCCGGCAGGAGGATTGGACTAGATGATCTTTCGAGGTCCCTTCCAATCTCTAACATACTGTGATACTGTGAAGACCTGTGGCAGTACTAGCCCCAACTCTCCTTTGCCCACCAGCATTGTCCCTAAGACATCCTAAATCCATGGATAACTACGCCTGAAGCCTGTTTCAAATAGTTCAGTTGTTTCCATGTTATGATTTGGGTACAGGGCACAATACAGCCATCCAAGCCCACAGAACAGTTCTTGGCTCATTCAAGGTGTTTAAATCCGTGTGTGACTTGAATATCTCTAAATCTGGCAGGAGAGGGAGAAAACTGGACTGGGCAGAAGACTGGAGCCGGCTCAGCTGGGCCATGGCAGAGCAATAGCAACCATGGGGACAACAGAGAGTCTCATGGCTAAAGATCGAGCTCTGGCTCTCATGACTGAAATTCTTGGCCAACCTCACAGTTGCACCAAGGAGAAATAAATGAACTGAGGCTCTAGTGGGAAAATAGAGGTTGGAGGTGAAGCCCAGACTAAGGCTGGATAACAGAGCCAAAGAGGAAGGCTGGGAGAGAGAAAAGAGCCAGGGAATGCACAGCTGGGGTTGAACTGGATGCGAGTAAGGGTGGATAAGCAGGATAAGAGCAGGTCGATGTGAGCTGAAGCCATGAGACCACAAGAGATTGGGCTGTTTCTGAGTGGTGTTCCTCTGCTCTCAGCAAATACCCAGCAGGGTGAGCAATGCATGTATCTGCTCTCCCTGTGCAATGAGGCTATAGAGAGAAAAGCAGTTGGGTGAGCTGCACCCAGCTAATTACCCTAGGAGATCTTTGCTGGGGTATAGGAGAGCTTCTTCAGCTCAGGAGAAAGCTTTTCAGCCTCCTGTGACTCACTCGGAAGGGTTTGAATGAGCAAATCTCTCATTCCTAAGATTATCCATAAGGAAGGTCAATGCAGGGCAATGATTTCCTTCAATATTAACCACGCTGAGCGCTTGATTTGCAGACACAAAAGATTTATTTCCATTGTTAATATTTTGTTATAAATGAAGCTGGAATTTCCAGATTCCGCAGTAGAAACCATCTGTCTTTTCTGATGGTTTTCCTTTAAGCACCATGCAGGATACTTCTTCCCTTTCAAGATAATCCATAATGCTTATAAAGCA